ACTAAAAAAGAAGTACTAAATAATCTTTAAGTTCTTTTGAAATTCTATTCTATGTTCCTATCTTTTTGTTTTGTTTTGTTTTTGTACTGGGGATTGAACCCAGAAACACTTACCCACTCAGCCATTTCCCAAGCTCTTTTTGTTGTTTTTTTTTTTTTTTTTTACTTAGAGACAGGGCCTTGCTAAGTGGCTGAAGCTGGTTTTGAACTTGTGGTTCTCCTTCCTCAACCTCTGGAGCTGCTGAGATTACAGGTGTGCACCACTGTGCCTGGCTATGTCTCCCATTCTATATTTATAAATGGATGATCTTCCCAAACACATGTGTCTTGAGATATTTACTTTTCCATAGCATATCTTTAAACTGACTACTTTATCCTATAAAACTTTAAAGAAGTTACTGGTGATAAGAACAGTCAGGCAGCTAACCTGACTGGTATCATCTCTGCCATTGAAGTTTTGTTTAGTTACTTTTTACCTACCTACATGTCTGGTCTCTTGGACTAACGTGGAGCCCCCTCTGGGATGAGGATGGTGTCCTTTTTGACTCTCATTTTTGAATTGTAAGAGGTAAACCTAAAAATATTTTAATGAGTATTATTGACACACATAACATTCAATCATATTAATAAACTACAATATACTTTCAGAAGAGTTGTGTTTTTCCTGATATTTATGATAACATCAGGTGACCTTGAGCAGATTTTTGCACTATTCAGGTACTAATTTCTTAACCATGAATGAAATGATTTAGCTAGGTATCTGCAAGATCCCTTCCTAGTATACTGTTCTGTCTTTCAAAAATCCTGTGTGTAACTTCAGGTCAGGGATGCTTATTAGGAATCTCGTGCTCAGCTGGGTTTGGCTCTGAGAGGGAAGCTTAGTTTAGAGCTGTAGTGAGGCAGCTCTAGGCACCCATGCAGGTGAAAACATGCTGACTAACTGACATGGGTAATCAGGTTGGGTGCCAGCAGCATGCTCTCCAATCTTATGGCATCAATTCTATACTGCTGTGAGTCTTCTGAATTATGTTGCCCAGGGCTATTTTGTGTCCTCAGAGTCAGTTTATTGAATTGTTTCTCTTTCACCAGGCCAAAAGCCTCTTGGAGAGCTCAACATCTAAATTGTACATAGTTAAGAGAGGCCTTCATTATAAAATTGTTATCAAAATTTATACTAGCATTATAAGAGTAATGAATTTTTGTAAAGATAATGAGAATCGTCTCTTTGGAGGTACCTCCAGATTTATTAAAGAGGTAGGGAACATAATATCAATTTGAAACCAATTCTTCAATAAGCATTTTGCATGAAGGGTGGGGATTACTGTTTAGCAGATGTTATGGCTTGGATCGGGTTCCCCTGAGGTTCATGTGTTGAAGTCTTGAATCCCCAGTAGCAATATTCCGAAGTGGAATATTTTGGAAGTGATTGGGTCATGAGGGCACTAATCTCATCAGTGGATTAATCTGTTGATGGATTCATAATTGAATGGACTATTGGGGAGGTGGTGGAAAATGGGGAAGGTGGGGTCTGGTTGGAAGAAGTGAGTGACTCCGGGCATGCCCTGGACAAGTAAATCCTATCCTTGGTCCTTCTCTCTTGCTCCCTCTCTTTCTCCCCACTTCTTCCCTACCCAGCTGCCATGTGGCTTTCTTCCACCACACTCTCCCTGCCATGATGTTCTCAGAGTTTCACCACAAGCTCACAGTGATGGGGCCAAATGACTGTGGACTTTAAATTGTATTATTAGAGAAAAAATATATTTAAAAGAGAAAAGATGTGCTTGGGTTCATGGTTTTAAAGGGTTCAGTCTGTAGTCATCACTTAAACCCCGTGCTGTGGGCTTTTCATTTATTTTTTCATTCTGCTAAATCAAGTGGATTGCTATTTATCTGAAAATGTTGGCAGTTTTCAAATTAAAAAGTATTTCTTTAAAAGCTATAAGCAATCTTATAATTCCATGAGATACCTATAGTTGTATCAGTTTTGTCAAGAAGAACAAAGTCCAGTAAACCTTATTTCCAAGAGATTATAAAATATACTATTTTTAAGCAACATTACCTTTTATGAGGAAAAACATGGGTAATTGTCTGGGTTTTGGAATCAGATAACCCTGAGCTTCAATTCCTGACCTTAAGCAAAATATTTGTCCTTTACCCCATTATTAAATTTCTTCTTTATAAAATAAGGTTAATTATATAACCTTGCAATATTATTAAGTATTATATGGAATAATATATACAAGTGCCTACAACCAAACAGGTGTTTAAAAGGGCTATTATTAACAATACCATATTTATTGGTTTTAGTATATTTACATTTTTTTACAAAGCACCTTACTTATAATGGTTATTTATAGTGTTGAAAACCTCGAGAGTAGGAATGAGTTAAAATAATTTTGCCTTTTAATTTAAAAAAAATCAATAGTGCCATGGGAATACTTAATTTCTTTTAAAGGGAACCTGAAACGATCAATAGCATTTCTTGGTATGGATGCTGCATGCAGTTGAAATCAAAACCAACCTCAAATATGGTGAGTCAGACAAAGGTAATAGGGCTCAGGCCAGAAGAATCCTTCCCTCAATTGGATATGGTCCCAGAAATATCTAAGATTAGATTCGCATCCACGAACTGTGGATTTGAGTCAGGTTTTCATGAGGGGCATAGAGAATCCCTGGAGGGTGTCCTTAATCCTTATGCCAAACCTCAGTAGTTTCAGTTTTCAGCCTAAGTCCTAATTCAGGAAAAAAAGCAAAGCAAATACTAATAAAGCAACAACAAAGTGAATACTAGGTAAATACAGGGAAGCAAAAAGCTGGTGCCTGAGAAGGGACATGGGGAGTGGCAAAAAAAAGTGAATCTGAAGGCAGAGATTAGAGAGTTCTCAACCTAGCTATCCTTCGGATTATCTGCATGACCCTGAGGAGGTCATTTGGGCCTGCTCTACATTCTAAGATGGTGAGGTATTCATGTCACATGTCACTGGTGGCCCCTTTTCCTTCTGTTAATTCTGATATTAACTCTTTTTAATATCAACTCCTGGCCCCAGATTCAAATCTAAGTGAAGAATGTTTCTCTATTACCCTGTTTGCTCAATGGGAGACATGGTATGCTAACATTGGGTAATCCCTTGAATTTAATTAAAATTAAAATTTAATTTAATTTTAAACTGATTTCTGTTAAATTAAAAGAGAGATGCCGGGAACAGGTACATTTGAAATCAGACTGCTCCGACTTTCAGGAGACAGTCAATTCTGGTTCACTGTTGTTTGTTTAGCAGACTTCTGACTATATTTTATTTTTTCCTACCCATTTATGAGTAGGACAGAACTTAGTTCCCAAAGCCCTTTTGCAAATCTAGTTTTTTTAAACTTAATTTTTATGGATACTTCCACAAACTTAAAGACACACTTAAAAAATCAAAGATGTAGGCTGGGGTTGTGGCTCAGTGCTAGAGTGCTTGCCTAGCCTGTATGAGGCACTGGGTTCAATCCCCAGCATCACATAAAAATAAAAAAAAATTAAATAAACGTATTGTGTCCATTTACAACTAAAATTATATATATTTTTTTTAAAAAATCAAGGATGTATGTCATTTTAGTAAAATGCTGAGAAGGGATAAATTTCTCAAAGAAAAGTAAATTTGTAAGTTAAATATTCATGATATTTAAATATGCTTTAAGAAATGTGTTGATGGTAGAAAAAATACAGCAAATTGTTCTGAAGAAACATGTTGTCAGTAGTTGAACAAATATTAAATGTCAATTCTATGCATTTAAGTATCAGTATTATTTAATTGGTATTTCTCTTGGAAAAAACTCATAAAGAGATACACTCTTAGATATGTCTTAATAAAACACTCTGTATTACTTGCAGTAAGCTGCTACCATGAAACATATTGTTATAGAATTCCCTTTCACTTTTCATTTTACTTTTGGCTATTTAAAAAATTATTTTCTAATCATAATCCTCCATTATGAAGTGAGCATTTTAAAATGTATTTTCTGAGTAGTTATAAAAATTATTTATCTGGATGATGTCACATTACATTCTCACTAATCATAGATTAGCAGATAGATCTTAGACTCTTTTTTTAAAAAAAAAAACAAAAACAAAAAAACCCCCAAACTTTAATTAACTAAATGTTTTGAATAGGATCCCCACACAGGGTTGTTGCAATATTAAGTTCATACAGTGAAAATTTCAAGGTTCGTATCTTAAAATGTGGTGGAAGATGTCTTACATATGAATCTTTTAAGGAAGTGTTTCTCAAGTTAAGGTAAAGGAGCCGGTTTCATCAGAATTGCTAGGGTATTTGTTTAAAATTCCCAGACCTCTGATCAGATATAGTCAATCAAAATCTCTACATAGAGTTTGAAAATATGAATTTCAACCCTCCCTCCCAAAGAGATTGTCAAATGTATTAAATTCCAGAACCTCCCTTCTACTGCTTTGTCTAATGCGGTGAAGTTTAAAGCGGATTCAAGTTATTCCTTTCATGCCTTCCTGCAAATATAATGATTGTTTCCTTTTCTACTCCACCACCAAAACAATACATTTGACCTCATGCCAAGACAGGCATCATTTCTGGATGATCAACGTTCACTCTTACGGGGAGAGGGCTATCTTTAGATAGGTATAGAGGACATAAATAGCCATACATGGTAGTCAATTGATGGGAAAGGGTACGTGTAACAAAAATGCAGTTCAGAGATTTGAAAATCATGCTATGAACTAATCTAGGAGGAGTGCGATTGTAATATAAGGAATGGCTCTGTGCTAAAGAAAGGACAGAATAACTTAATAGAGGTCTCCCATCTCATTCCCTGGCGGTGCTTCTGGGCTCTGGTGATGAATGTGTTCATTTTATGTGACTTGCTTTGGATAAATAACCCGGTGCCCTTTCAGCTCTCCAGCCTGCGGCCAGCGGTGGCTGTGTGTGCGCACTAATGACGGTGGAAGGTTCCTGGGGGAGGGTTTGGGGAGGGGCTGCCCAGCTTGATCGCCCCTGACACTTCCTAAGAGACTCTCAGTCCTTTCTCTGCAGCTGCCGCTTGAAGACTCCGCGCTTCCCCCACCTAAGGAAAGAAGTTATCCATCTAAATCAGTTGTCCTATCTGCGTCCCTCGTTTCTCTCTCTGGGAGCCGCTTACCCCTAGCTCTTCCATTGTGTTGTGCCTTTTCAGTTTAGCCCCGCTTGCTGCGTAAGACTTTCACTCCGTTTGCTGCAGGGAGATTTACTCGAGAGTTTCCGAACCTCCAGCTGCAATGGAGCTCTATGGAAAGGTAAGCAAGTGAAGGGAATTCTTGAGTGTATTCAGCGAGAAATCTCGCTTTTACGGACTTTGGGACGTGTGTCTGTTTCTGTGTGTGTGTGTGTATGTGTGTGTGTGCGCGCGCGCGCGCCCTCGAGTCTTCTCAATGCATTTATGCAGATAAAACACTTTCTTTATATGTGTGCCTTCCTTTCTTTCTCGTGTTTATTGAATAAGATAGTAAAACTACCCCACTCATCCTATGGAAATGTATAAACTTTTCCGATTTGAGATGGGTAGAGGTGAGGCGGGGAGTCATAGAAGGTATCATTTGTATTGGAAATGAGCACCAAGACTGCGCTTCCCAACTAGGGAATTTCAATCTGGCTTCCCAAGGGGGATAGCTAGTAAAGAAAAATCTCCAGCAGAGATCACTGAGGTCACTTTTGCTGGAGCCTTGCAAAGAAAGGGGCAGAGGAAGCTAAGAGCGATAATAGCCAGGAGCAACCCGTGAGGCGAAGAAGGGAGGATCCGCGGCCAAGTGCTACTGGAAGACCGAGCCTATTTAAAGTCTTGCTTGCTTGCCGGGAGGTGTAGTTCACAGCTTGCCCGTTTGCATAAAAGACCTGCAGGACAAGACTACAACTCCCAGGAGTACTCGGGGTTCCTAGCCAGTACGCGTGTGCGGGCGACAGGAGAGGACAGCTCTGGTGCTGATGTTGGAACCGGTTAGTGAACCCTGAGAGTGCAGTGTGGAGCGTGGAACGCGCGGGCTGTGCACGCTTTGCGGGGCGTCCCGGCCAGCGCTGCCCTAGAGAGAAAGAACATTTGCCTACAATGAGACACGAAGCGCCCATGCAGGTGGGTCTATACAGAAAGAGTGGTCTGGGGAGGAATTAAGAGAGATGCTTTCCCCTCATTCCAGGCACAAACTGTTCTCTACCTAAGGGACGGTCTAGGTGGCCACCCATGGAGAGGCGGCTCTGTGATTCGGTTCTGGGGACAGATTTGGGTCCTCTAGGTTTCGTGTGGCTGTAATTGGGGCTGTCTTAATGAGGAATATGGGTGTTCATTATCTTTCCCAGCTCCATAAGGAGAGTGAGGAGGTCTATCGAAAATGAAAACCCCAGCAAACAAAAGTCAAAAGAACATGCAGTCTCATGTTGGCATTGATCATCCCTCTTGGTTTCCCAGATTTGTGACTGCGGTGTAAACTCTTGAGATTTAAAGCAGGCGAGTTAGGTTCGGGGTTGAGACCTCTTTACCTGAGTTGGGATAGAGAGAATTCTGCACCGTTAAGGTCACATTAAGAAAAGGGAAGCCAATGTTAGGGTTCTCAAATTCCCTTTCTTCAATATCAGCTGAAAATAGCGAACACGTTCAGGCTTGGCTTCTCCCAGAGCTATGCCAGCCCTTTATCTATGGCCACATAACTGGTTTACTCCTTCTAGGAGACCATTGCTCTGAGCTTTCCTGTGTGAAGTACTCATTTGTTGTGCCTTTGGATTCCTCATTTCAGTCACATTCTTGGGTTTGTTTCCTTAAGAAATGCAAACGACTCCGTGCAAAAGTGCTTCTGCCTAAACATCTTCCCTTAAGTTTTGTTTTTAAGTAAAAGATAAGTGATGTTTCAGTTCTGTGTGCAACCAGTCAACGCTGAACATCAGCCTGTATGTTCATTACCCACGCAGAGTGATCCCATTGCATAACAGCAAGGCGTTTTATGAATGGGGTTGAGAGGAGAATAGAACATCCCATTTGGAATGTGTTCTCTCTTGAGAATCCACCTTTGTCGCCAAACCCAACAACTTGAATATTTGACATTAATCGAGGCTTAAACATTTCTCATGCTTTCTTCATGAACCCAGGACTTAAACATATGCTTTGATTTACTTTTAATTTATTTTACTTGTTGTGTATATTAAGGTACACTCACTGGATTGTTCAATGAAAAAAATATATAATTTATTTTTTTGAAGGATTATATAATGGAAGCCCTCAAATTACTGTAAGAGTTATTGAAAACTTGATTTGTTCCAGGGAACAGTGGTCCCACTGTGCGCATTCTAATACCTCTGTTTGTGACTTTGCTTTTCACTATAGACTTGATGTGAAAAGAATCTAGGCAGACAATAAAGGGGCAGGCTTTGCAATCAAGACATATTGGCTTATGATAATTTTCCATTACTAGAATTATTGCCAAGAGCCAACTGGCTAAATTAATCATATTTGATTATGAGTAAACATTGGCAGTAGACTTTAAAAGTGGGTTGTTACACTTGGCTATCTATTTGTATATCAAAACTTCATGTTGTACATCTTAAATTTATACTGTAAGAACTTCTCCAAAATTCAAAATAAGGTGGATCATTAGTACTTGTAGTAAACTCTATGTAGGTACTGAAATCACTCTGTCAAAACAAATTACTGAACAAACAACCAAATTGTATATTAATTTTTTTCTTTTAAATGTTATTTAGAGTATTCAGAGGGGCCATTGAATATCATAGAATTGTGCAAAATTAGTGCATTAGAAAATATTTCAAATTGTTTCATGTGTCCACCACTATATAATAGGTATTGTAAGGTCCTATTTTAGGACTTAAATTAAGAATTAATATAAATATTAGGTAAGATGACATTAATTTACTCATGTGTGGATTGTTTTCCAAATTTATGGTGCGTTTTATTCATTGGAGCAGATTCTTAAAAAATTGAAAGTTTAAAATCCCAAATGCTATCATGAAGTACATGTATATTTTAAGAATGACTTTTTAAAGTACATTTAATTAAAGCACATACATTGATTCAGTTTATTGCTGTGATGGTGAACTCTGCATAATAATTAACGAATTTTTGAAAATATATTATGATAGGAAGAATAAAATCAATAAGCATGATTTAAGTTTTTTTTTTTTTTTTTTTTTTAAACAGCAAGTAATGCCTCAGCATCTATACTTCTAAATCATAATCACATTTCAGGTGACTTGAAGTATGAAAATACAAGAAGACAACTAGTTGCCATTCTTTTATTTTTCATGTAAATGTTGAACAATATCATTTTAAATATAGGCCCCAAATATTTCTCACCAGGTTTTCTGATAGATGAGTCACAAGCCAAACCTCACTATATAATTTAATTATCCTCAGAGTTTTTTCTTTTGAAATATTTAATGTATTTGTTGATGTGAAACAAAATGAATTTTTTTCATTTATAGGTTTGATTTCCTAATTTATTACATTTTTCTTAAATCAAAGAAGGGCTTAAAATATACAATGTCCTTTTAAAAGTATTGTGCCTACGTAAATAGCTTAGTGTTTGGTTCAAGGTAGTTGCCTTTGATATGTGCATATTTTCTGAAGAATATTTTCCTCTAAATTGACAGAAAAGAAGAAATAATAATTGTGTTTTTTTTACATGACTACTAAAATAATAGGTAATGATAGTCTGAGAGGTATGTATTTCCTTTGTAACTAAGTAAATAGGAATAGCATTTAGTAAGTGTGTTCCAGTTGATGAGCTTAGAATTTCAATGCAGGAGATGGTCATTTGCATCTTCTCATGTAGTGTGTATGTAAATCCTGAGGGCCAAGTAAAAGGGGGAAATATGAGTGCCCATAACTTGAAGGCAAGGCTTTGCAAACAGATTGTCATTTATTCAGGAGCCAGATTGAACAAATTTCAGTTTATCTAGTGCCTTCTCTGTGCCAGCCACTGTGCTTTGCATCCTATTATATTTGTGTGTGCAAAAAACAATCATATATTATTATATTTAGGTCAAAATATTTATAAATATACTTAAAATCCTGTGTGTTCTCATTACCCTAATTACAAGCAAGATACTGGAGCTTATTAGGATTAAATAACTTTTCCAACATGTAAGAGTTAAAATTCTGCTAGATCTCCCTGTCCAACATGCCCATGTTCTTTCCTTTATTATTTTGGGTTCCCCAAGAAGACATGAGTGGGTTGTATAAAGGTAGATTAGTGTGATTCATTCAGTTGGCTCAGAAGAAAGAGAAATCTATATTATCACTATCTTCTATTATAAAATAATCTGCTATAAATTAAACCAAATATTTGAGAAGGGCCAGTGTTTTAAAGACTGCTTACTTTCTGTCATCTAGACTTATAATTTTTTGTAGGTTTACTTACTCTCTTGCAGTATCAAAGTGGAATCTGTTGTCTCTGCCTACATACTTACTCTTAAGTGTTGTTATCATGAACTTTCTGGATTATCTCATGGATGCAGAGTTGCCTTTTTAGAAAACTTCAAATAACAGTGTCTTACTAAAGCATGGAGAAAAGTACCAGAAAAGATTGTTTAGTCCAAGATGTGGGCAGATTGAGGGATGAATGTAGAGCAGAATGAAAATGAAGTTTAGGTGAAAACTATTAGATGGATATTAATACACCAAACCAAATTACAATGAATGAATGTTTAAATATCATGGTTTCATTTGGATATGGAATGCCTATGACCTTTTTACATTTCATTATTATTGAATTTCCATGTACATCTGCAAAGATAATCACACTATATTAATGTGAAATGGAAATTTAGTCCTCATTCTTTACAGAAAAAGGAAGTCCCTAGCTGACACTGGAGAAACAAGAAATTCTTTCCTATTCTATTTGGGCCAGTTCTTCAAGATTTTACCTCACTTCTAAAAAGGAAAGTGAGAGGGGAATTAACCTATTTTACAAACTTTTGTGGTGTAAGAATGGATTTTTTGATTTTAATTCTTGTGCTATAGGAGTCTTATTAAGGAGGTAGGGGCCTAATCCAATGTGATGGAGATTGAGGCCTACTTTTCTTCTATTAGATGCAGGGTCTCTGGTTTAATTTCTAGGTCCTTGATTCACTTTGAGTTGAGTTTTGTGCATGGTGAGAGATATGGGTTTAATTTTATTTTGTTGCATATGGATTTCCAATTTTCCCTGTACCATTTGTTGAAGAGGCTATCTTTTCTCCAATATATGTTTTTGGTGCCTTTGTCTAATATAAGATAACTATAATTATGTGGGTT